CTCGATCACTGGGCCAATATGTTTATTCGCCTGACGTTTCAAAATCCGTCGATGATTCATCATCAGAAACATAATCAGAAAACAGTAGCAAAAACGGGCGATAAATGCATAGGAGTTCGCAGTATTTATAGGAGACAGCCATTACTGCAGACATATAACGATAAATAACGGCAGTTGCCTTCTTGTGTGTTGATAGTTTGCTGAACGGCATGCGGGCTCTGACCTGCTGAAATTTCATCACGCGTGGTGGACTGGGGCGTGATGATTGTTCGGCTGTCAGGCCCTCCGGTGTTGGCGTTGGAGGATGTGTTGGCCTGGCTGTTCCCCAAGTGGCGACTCAAGACGCGAATTGCCGAATACGCGGCAGCCGTGCAGCGAGATGATGCCAATTCTCAGGTTTTGGGTCACTCGATGAGATCTGGCCAAACATTCAAATTTGATGAGCCCAATATTCTCGCAAGAGGTGACAATCATGTGAGCCGCGAATTACTTGAATCGTGGTTCACGGGCCTCAAATCCATAAAAAATTGCAGCGATTTGCCCAATCTATATTCGGTGCTGAGACTCAAGTTGGCCCAAGGAAGTCGCCACTTGGGGAACGGACAGGCCACCACGTCATCCCAGGCCAAAAACGGAAGGCCACATGGCCGAGTAATCCTCACGCGTGATGAAATTTCAGCAGGTCAGAGCCCGCATACAGTTCAGCAAACTATCAACAAACAAGAAGGAAATTACCGTTAAGTTTCGTTGTATGTTTGCAGTTATGGCTGTACTCTATAATATTTCAGGCACGAAAGAATACTTACTTTTTAATGAACTTCTTTCTGACAAAGAGAATATGCTGTAAAAATGGCTACTTAAATAGTATGCATTTTTATACATGATTTTGCCTGTCCTTATTAATTCAACTACAGGGTGTCCCAAAAAATGTATACACATTTAACCTTTTTGTAAAATTGTTGTTTATCATAATTTTAGTATTAAATAAATGTAGAACTTTTTACTAGTACATTTTATTGTTTTTATCACTGAGTCTTCTTAAAATGACGTCCATTTTGATCGTGACACAGCTGACAACGCGAAACAATGGAATCGCACATACCACGAAACAATTCCCTTGATAATCGGATGCCTTCACGG